CACAAGTACATTTACATATTTTGATTGATACTAGGAGCTATGATTTACTAGAGATAAACTAAACTATGGGTTGAAATTAATCAGGAACTAAATTTAAGTTACTCAAATTAGTAACTTACTTAAATTAGTAACTTACTTTAAGTTACTAATTTAAGATACTCAATAAAGTATCATCCACGAAAACATTTACTCAACGCGCGTGGTAACTGGATACCAAAAGAATTAGCTTGGAATAAGGCCTGTATGGCCTTTAAGTTTATGAAAAGTAGACTTAAAATATCTGAATTGTCCACTAAATAGATGTTGATTTCCCGTCTTAAACTGATTTTAAGGACAGTCACACGGTACACATTTTGTGCAATGTCTAAAATTGCATCGTGAGTCCATATCGTTGCATGCAACATTTCACACTATATTCTAAGTTATAGTGTAACCTGCTAGACAGCCTTACCTTAGTCAAACGCTCAAGAGGCGAGCTTCAATGAGCAGGAGAGATGAAAGCTAAGTACAGTGATGGAGTACATAGAGTCAGGGTTGGCTGTCTCAGCGGTCAAACGCATTGCACACGCACAGTTCTCGGTTAAACTGCGTCTCTTAAAACTCTCAAAGTTTTGAAATCTTCCGTTCTCAAATCAAAAGTTAAGACAGGCACTTAATATTTACAAAGAAAATCAGAATTCTTATCCGCCTTTATTACCTTCTTTCAATTTGGCTTACCACTCCCCTTTTTGAAACTTTTTCTTTGGAAAGTTTTCTACATTTTGCTTCACCCTCTTACAAACTTCGAGGCAACCGAGACCGGAAGTCGCGATGAATTTTTTGCTTTCAACCACCGTGAAGGCTTGGCCATACGGGGCAATGTTTGATTAGTGTTGCGTAGCTTGCAAAACCGCAATAATAAGACTTATTATTATTATTATAATTATAATTATAATAATAATAATTATTATTATTATTATTATCATTATTAATGTGCAGTTCCAGTTATTTGGTAAGTCTTGCGTCTGAATTATTGTGCTTAATTATGGCTTTTTAAGGTGGTTCCTCTGGGTTGCTTTGCCTATCCCTTCTGCCGACAATTTTCCCACGAAAATTTCAAAAACATTGTGCTGCTACTTTTATCTCTGAGGAATCACGTTAAATTATCTTTTTTATGTGTAAAATAATCATGATATCGTAGATCAAGAATTTTAATTAAATGTGATGCAAGGACAACTACCTTCTTTAATCCAGGCAAAAAGATGCGCTGAAGAATTTGCTAAAGCTGTGAGACTTGAATTTATAGACAGGTACGTGGTTAATGAACACCTGCATTTAAACATCAAAATAGTAATTCTCGTTACTACCTCCATTTATTTCTTTCGATGTTAGTTATGACAATTTTTCGGTGCATCAATGCAGCATGATATAGCCAAAATCATGGCTTTCATTGTAACAAAGTTGAAAGGAAAATTTGATGTTGATTTGGTAGTTGATCTGGAGACACGATTAATCGCTAACTGGTAGATCATATTCATATTTCTGCTTGTTTATCGTAGTGACCACAGTCATACCATGCTGGCTGGCCTGGGTACCCTGGGGTTCGAAATCCTGGAGCAGTGCGATTGCCACTTAGACTCTGTTGTCGTGCCTGCTAGTGACAAAACTCTTCTGAAAGCCCTAAGATATTCTATAAAGAGTATTTTCCCTCATATCAAGATCATAGTAAGTGACGTTAATCGTGATTTCAGTAGACCTGGAGATTTTGTAGGTTAACTCTCATTGTCTTCTGACGTCGTTAATATTTTAACATAGGTTGCTCAAGTCACAGACAAAGAACTTACAAGAGGTTAGATATTGACAGTTTATCTCAGTCGGCTTTTCACGTAATATACCAAACACGAAATACCGTGTTTGACCATATTTCCAAACACCGAGACGAGAGTTGAAAATACGACGCGCAGCGGAGTATCTTTGACAAACTTTGGGTAGTTTAGAAATGTGGTCAAACACTGTCTTCACTGTTTGATATATCTTCTCAGTCGAAACTAAAACTAAGGAGAAAACGGAGAAATAAAATCGTAAAAAGTCAATGATTTTTAAACACCGTCACGTTCTTGATTTCCTGTGTTTAATCAATTATAGGGAAAACCATATCTTGAAGGCTGTAATGTTCAGCCGGCTTTAAAATAATAAGCCACAGCGTGGTTGATTGATGTAGAAATCGAACTCGAAACAAAACCTGTAGCAACCGAAAAGCGCGGGAAAAAACGCGAGAGGTCTTGGGTTTGTACTAGCTTGAGAATGTGGCATTAACTGGGTGACCATATGAAAGAGCTCAGCAAATGCCGATAAGAGAGCAGAAAGAAAACAAGTTTCAGTTTCATTTGTGTCATCTTCTATTCTGTTTGAAAAGAACAGAAAGCGACACAACATATACGAAGTCAAAGCATTGTCTCCTAAATAAAAAGATTAGTAAGGAAACATGATCTTATTCTAAAGTTTGCAGTTTTGCGGACCTTAGTGACATATCAGATGGAGTGTTACAAGTCAGGTGAGTTTCACAGCCTCTTTATTCGTTGTCAAACTGATATAAGAATATCAAAGTTTCTCGTTAAACAAAAAGAATGACTAGTTCTAAGTACTTAACTAGTCATTGAGGCCAATGAAAAAAATGAGATGCATGGCAATGCAACTTTGGACTGCTATAATCTGTGTTCGCTTCCCCTCGAACGCGTATATCTGTAGGCACGACACGCGGAGAACCCGCGGAGTATCTTGACCTTCAGATCCAGAAAGCCAGGTGATAAAATAGAGATAAGATGTTTGTCTCTAACCAGGTTTATAAACTGGTATCAGTAATTAATTGGGTGACTTGACAAATTCTGAGAATTTATAGACAAGTATCCTAATCTTATGGCAGCAACAGCACCTTTTGACGCTTCAAGCTAATTATCCGGCGGCAATTCAGCCCTCTCGTCCAGTGTGCAGATTTGACCACACCCTTTCTTCATGGTTTTAAACGGCTGCAGACGAAAGTCGACAAGTTTCAAATTTCCGCGCAATTTGTCTAAAGGCTATTTTTTTTCCGGACAGTTAACATTAAAAACCGGACTCTAATACTGTTTACTGTTTGGCAGTTACTCGGAATTCCACGCCGAGCTTTCATGATATTGTCAGAATTCTTTTCCTTCAACAGCAACGCCGACCTTTCACGAGCAGTTCTTCGAGTCATGGAAGAGAAAGGTATACTACTTAGCAAAATGGGTGTTTCAGGATTGGCGGCTATCATGACTGGCCATGGGAATCGTTCTCATCTAACAAACAAGAGGTAAGTAGCTGCTCAGCAAAAGAAGTTGAGATAAACTGATTTTTTGCACCTGCAAAGAATTACATGGACAGGTTAGGCTGTGTGTTTTTGAATACGATCGTAGCAGATTATACTTCCGTGTAATCGCAACTTCGTGCTTTCATCGATAGCGACATGTATGATATATCCCGAGAGCCTTTGCCTCATTTCGTTGACCAGTAGAAACGAAGGCTCTGGTAACATGATTACACCTCTTAATCATGCATAACGCCATAAGCTGACTTAAGAATCATTTGTAGGACGCTTCGATTACCGTAGTTTAAAAAAATAGAACCGTCTCGATAATTTTCACGATAATTTTCAAACGATGCCTTTTTTTAGTTAAACTTCATGTTACCTTCCTTCCTTTGATTAATTTTGACTGTTTTATTTCTATTTTTACATTTACATTTTTCAACTTTTGCAGAGTGGTGGTGGTATCCACCGAGTGCCTTGTTCCCTGTCTACTTCAAATAGAACAGCTGATAAATCAAAGCTAGTTAACGCGTGTTTCGTGAGCCGACTTTGCGTCAAACCTCTCCTGTAGAAGCTGGGAGGAAAAATGTGTTTCTTTCCATTACAGGAGCAACCGGTACTCTAGTAGCGCATTACCGTCTTACAAAATATCTCCGTCCATCCGTTAAGAATATCTTGAGTGGGGAAATAAAAGCCCTAGCTGGCTCCAAATTGGGCTGGATTCTGCTTGACAGCGGGCGAAGCGATAACATACGTACGCACCTGGGTACCTATAGAGATCTGAAAAAAAAACAAAAAAACATGCAGTTTATATATTTATTGGCAAAAAGTGTCTTTAGTGATTAAATAAGTACGTTTGAGAAAGTTCTTATTACGTTACTGTGATTTTACAATGAAAACTTTGCGGATAAAAAACGCTATTCAACTGGCTGTCGTTCAAAACCCAACTGACTTATCGACTGCGTTTTACGCTGACAATAACAAAACGTTAATGAAAACAACAATATAAAGTAGTTCAAAATACACCAATCACAACTGACACAACTGTTGCCTTTTTGAGACCTCGATCCCAGGCTGTCTCTCCTTTGCCCCCATCAGGGTCGACAAGGGAGGCAAAAGAGATAAAGACTGGGACCGAGGTTGCTTGGAGTGTTTTTCTCGGGGAGATCCGCGAACGTATTTCACGAAACTCTCGATGACACCATCCCCAGCTCTATCTGGAATAGCAACCTCGATCCCAGGCCCTCTCTCCTTTGTCGAGGTTTCTGGAATACGCCTTACGTAGCCTGTGAGGAGATTTCCTCCTTGCAAATTCTTCACATGCATAATCATGTGATGTAGACATTGACAATGTGGTTTCGGCATTTGCCCGTCTGCAGGGGTGACCGTAAACACCTTATAAACTTATCTTAAACCCATTATCAATTATTCCAAAGGTTGACATGGAAAGAGCATAAGATACTAAAATTCTCAATGAAACTGTCCTCTGAAAATCGTGGGAAATGGGATTTTCGAGCCCCTGAAATAAATTTCCCCCCTCCCCTAAACGACTTGCCCCTTTAGGCGCTCAAGTAATTTTCTCTTCGTTGCATCCTCCACGAAAAATGCACGCTACACCCTTACGGTTACTATGTGATTGTTTTGGTTTTCCGTTGAAAGAGCTCTGTACTTGTTCAGTAAAGGCCTTGTAACCGTTTTCCATTCATCAGTGCAAACATACAGTCTCTCCAGTCAATTTGCCAATTGAAAACTAAATGAATGCATAATGGCTTTTTTTGAGCTTTTTTCTCGCCCTGTACCCTGCGGGACAGAGACTCCCTTCTTTCTCTGCTCGGTGAGAGACAAGAGGGAACCTCTGAACAGAGGTTTCGCTCGTCTATCACCGACCAGAAAGAGAAGGCAATCTCTGTCTCGCGGGTATTGTCCTTGGCGTTGGGTGTAAGTTCTCCCGTTCTTGAAACCCTTTTGATTCACGTTTTCAACGATTGCCACGTGGACCATGTACTTACATGTTTATGCTGTCAGTTCACCTGAGTCGGTTCACTGATTAAGACAGCGTCCACAAAACGCCGGAGAAATTTAAAACGCAGCTTCATTGCTACGATTAGTCTACCGTCCACACTAATCCGTCACAAAAACGGAGCTATACGAAAACGATCTTAAAACCAGAGGAATTTGAAAACGCCGGCTTAAGTTTCGTTTTCGTGTGAACGTAAAACATTTTGAAAACGGAGCTTTTCGAAAACGATGGCGTCATGATAATCACGTGATTTCCCTGATCGAGTTTTCCTCAAACACAAATCCAAAATGACCAGAGATTGTTCCGTTTTCAAATTCCCCCGGTGTTGTGTGGACGGAAAACATTTGATGCATTTTCAGAGTGAAACCTCTGTTTCAAATTCCTCAGGTATTGTGTGAACGGAAAACATTTAATGCATTCATTTTTCTGAGTGAAACCTCCGTTTTCAAATTCCTCCAACATGGTGTGGACGAGGCCGGGGAACTCTCTTACTTCTTTACAATTCGATTATNGTTTGATTTTGACAGGTTAAGTCCAATGTTGAAGATAATTCATACATAAAATAGCATAACATTGAGTATACAGATAGCAGAGCATACCACTGAATTACTGCATCAAGTTTAAATAACATAACATAGTGTATATAATAATAGTATTGCATAGCATAGTAGCAATTAGTATACAAAAGTGTTGTAACTGTAGTTATGTATAGAGGGAATTTGAATGTCAGACTGGGACTTGCCTGTAAATAAATAGTACAATAACTGTTATTTATTCACCATAGTGAAATAGCATGTATGATACTTGCTCTCTTTTCATTGGTTTTATCAAATAAAATTGAAGAGACATCAAACTTTTTTTTCTTATCTTTATATCTTATCAAGGATTCATAAGTTCCTTTGATGCACCATGTTCCAGGTGAGGTTGCCAGATCATTGATGCCCATCTGGATCATCCAAAAGGAATGCATTCAGTAAATTCCACACCATAACTAGCCCAGATTCTCAGACGGTCAAGGTCACTCGAAGCCAGTTAGAGAGACCCCATGGCAGCGAGCAACCTTTAAGACTGTCTGAGTATCAGGCTACACCATGAGGTGTTCCTCTCCAAACTTTAATAGTTACCAAAGGAAATGTTTGCGTGTGGGAGGGGGGAAACTCCAGTTAAGGCTGCTCATCAAAAAATTTGAATTAAATCCCTAAGAGACCAATCTGGGCATGTTTTGAGCTTTATTTGACCCCTAAAAGACACCACTGAATGCAGAATAGGCTCAATTACCAGCCGCTGTTCTGGAAAGGAGCCTGCGCTAGTAGGCCGGATGCAAGAGATTGGCAGAAACCGAGCCTAAAAATGGAATCAAAGGAAACTATGAAGAACTCGTGGATACATTGCCTGCATACATTTATTTGATCTATAATTAGTTTATAGTTGATAATTTTTCAAATGACTTTTTGAAAGCCTTTTTGAAAGCTCAAGTAGTACATGTGCAGTGTAACTAGGAAGTAAACAAAAATCAAATTACAGGCTGTTTATTCAGACTGCTTATAAATTTGAAAATGGAATATATTAATTAATTAATTAATTTTGAGTGGCATTGGAAAAAAATTATTTTTACATTAACTTGTACAATTGATTTCTACAGTCTGTAGCACAAGAAAGCCATTAAATAAAAGTTCACCATAATCACCAGTCCCAAATTAACACCCAGTCAGAGTTGTTGGTCATAATGTGTATAATATTAGTGAGTCAGCAGTGCATTTTGGGTCAAGGTAATTTNGACTTGAATTTATAGACAGGTACGTGGTTAATGAACACCTGCATTTAAACATCAAAATAGTAATTCTCGTTACTACCTCCATTTATTTCTTTCGATGTTAGTTATGACAATTTTTCGGTGCATCAATGCAGCATGATATAGCCAAAATCATGGCTTTCATTGTAACAAAGTTGAAAGGAAAATTTGATGTTGATTTGGTAGTTGATCTGGAGACACGATTAATCGCTAACTGGTAGATCATATTCATATTTCTGCTTGTTTATCGTAGTGACCACAGTCATACCATGCTGGCTGGCCTGGGTACCCTGGGGTTCGAAATCCTGGAGCAGTGCGATTGCCACTTAGACTCTGTTGTCGTGCCTGCTAGTGACAAAACTCTTCTGAAAGCCCTAAGATATTCTATAAAGAGTATTTTCCCTCATATCAAGATCATAGTAAGTGACGTTAATCGTGATTTCAGTAGACCTGGAGATTTTGTAGGTTAACTCTCATTGTCTTCTGACGTCGTTAATATTTTAACATAGGTTGCTCAAGTCACAGACAAAGAACTTACAAGAGGTTAGATATTGACAGTTTATCTCAGTCGGCTTTTCACGTAATATACCAAACACGAAATACCGTGTTTGACCATATTTCCAAACACCGAGACGAGAGTTGAAAATACGACGCGCAGCGGAGTATCTTTGACAAACTTTGGGTAGTTTAGAAATGTGGTCAAACACTGTCTTCACTGTTTGATATATCTTCTCAGTCGAAACTAAAACTAAGGAGAAAACGGAGAAATAAAATCGTAAAAAGTCAATGATTTTTAAACACCGTCACGTTCTTGATTTCCTGTGTTTAATCAATTATAGGGAAAACCATATCTTGAAGGCTGTAATGTTCAGCCGGCTTTAAAATAATAAGCCACAGCGTGGTTGATTGATGTAGAAATCGAACTCGAAACAAAACCTGTAGCAACCGAAAAGCGCGGGAAAAAACGCGAGAGGTCTTGGGTTTGTACTAGCTTGAGAATGTGGCATTAACTGGGTGACCATATGAAAGAGCTCAGCAAATGCCGATAAGAGAGCAGAAAGAAAACAAGTTTCAGTTTCATTTGTGTCATCTTCTATTCTGTTTGAAAAGAACAGAAAGCGACACAACATATACGAAGTCAAAGCATTGTCTCCTAAATAAAAAGATTAGTAAGGAAACATGATCTTATTCTAAAGTTTGCAGTTTTGCGGACCTTAGTGACATATCAGATGGAGTGTTACAAGTCAGGTGAGTTTCACAGCCTCTTTATTCGTTGTCAAACTGATATAAGAATATCAAAGTTTCTCGTTAAACAAAAAGAATGACTAGTTCTAAGTACTTAACTAGTCATTGAGGCCAATGAAAAAAATGAGATGCATGGCAATGCAACTTTGGACTGCTATAATCTGTGTTCGCTTCCCCTCGAACGCGTATATCTGTAGGCACGACACGCGGAGAACCCGCGGAGTATCTTGACCTTCAGATCCAGAAAGCCAGGTGATAAAATAGAGATAAGATGTTTGTCTCTAACCAGGTTTATAAACTGGTATCAGTAATTAATTGGGTGACTTGACAAATTCTGAGAATTTATAGACAAGTATCCTAATCTTATGGCAGCAACAGCACCTTTTGACGCTTCAAGCTAATTATCCGGCGGCAATTCAGCCCTCTCGTCCAGTGTGCAGATTTGACCACACCCTTTCTTCATGGTTTTAAACGGCTGCAGACGAAAGTCGACAAGTTTCAAATTTCCGCGCAATTTGTCTAAAGGCTATTTTTTTTCCGGACAGTTAACATTAAAAACCGGACTCTAATACTGTTTACTGTTTGGCAGTTACTCGGAATTCCACGCCGAGCTTTCATGATATTGTCAGAATTCTTTTCCTTCAACAGCAACGCCGACCTTTCACGAGCAGTTCTTCGAGTCATGGAAGAGAAAGGTATACTACTTAGCAAAATGGGTGTTTCAGGATTGGCGGCTATCATGACTGGCCATGGGAATCGTTCTCATCTAACAAACAAGAGGTAAGTAGCTGCTCAGCAAAAGAAGTTGAGATAAACTGATTTTTTGCACCTGCAAAGAATTACATGGACAGGTTAGGCTGTGTGTTTTTGAATACGATCGTAGCAGATTATACTTCCGTGTAATCGCAACTTCGTGCTTTCATCGATAGCGACATGTATGATATATCCCGAGAGCCTTTGCCTCATTTCGTTGACCAGTAGAAACGAAGGCTCTGGTAACATGATTACACCTCTTAATCATGCATAACGCCATAAGCTGACTTAAGAATCATTTGTAGGACGCTTCGATTACCGTAGTTTAAAAAAATAGAACCGTCTCGATAATTTTCACGATAATTTTCAAACGATGCCTTTTTTTAGTTAAACTTCATGTTACCTTCCTTCCTTTGATTAATTTTGACTGTTTTATTTCTATTTTTACATTTACATTTTTCAACTTTTGCAGAGTGGTGGTGGTATCCACCGAGTGCCTTGTTCCCTGTCTACTTCAAATAGAACAGCTGATAAATCAAAGCTAGTTAACGCGTGTTTCGTGAGCCGACTTTGCGTCAAACCTCTCCTGTAGAAGCTGGGAGGAAAAATGTGTTTCTTTCCATTACAGGAGCAACCGGTACTCTAGTAGCGCATTACCGTCTTACAAAATATCTCCGTCCATCCGTTAAGAATATCTTGAGTGGGGAAATAAAAGCCCTAGCTGGCTCCAAATTGGGCTGGATTCTGCTTGACAGCGGGCGAAGCGATAACATACGTACGCACCTGGGTACCTATAGAGATCTGAAAAAAAAACAAAAAAACATGCAGTTTATATATTTATTGGCAAAAAGTGTCTTTAGTGATTAAATAAGTACGTTTGAGAAAGTTCTTATTACGTTACTGTGATTTTACAATGAAAACTTTGCGGATAAAAAACGCTATTCAACTGGCTGTCGTTCAAAACCCAACTGACTTATCGACTGCGTTTTACGCTGACAATAACAAAACGTTAATGAAAACAACAATATAAAGTAGTTCAAAATACACCAATCACAACTGACACAACTGTTGCCTTTTTGAGACCTCGATCCCAGGCTGTCTCTCCTTTGCCCCCATCAGGGTCGACAAGGGAGGCAAAAGAGATAAAGACTGGGACCGAGGTTGCTTGGAGTGTTTTTCTCGGGGAGATCCGCGAACGTATTTCACGAAACTCTCGATGACACCATCCCCAGCTCTATCTGGAATAGCAACCTCGATCCCAGGCCCTCTCTCCTTTGTCGAGGTTTCTGGAATACGCCTTACGTAGCCTGTGAGGAGATTTCCTCCTTGCAAATTCTTCACATGCATAATCATGTGATGTAGACATTGACAATGTGGTTTCGGCATTTGCCCGTCTGCAGGGGTGACCGTAAACACCTTATAAACTTATCTTAAACCCATTATCAATTATTCCAAAGGTTGACATGGAAAGAGCATAAGATACTAAAATTCTCAATGAAACTGTCCTCTGAAAATCGTGGGAAATGGGATTTTCGAGCCCCTGAAATAAATTTCCCCCCTCCCCTAAACGACTTGCCCCTTTAGGCGCTCAAGTAATTTTCTCTTCGTTGCATCCTCCACGAAAAATGCACGCTACACCCTTACGGTTACTATGTGATTGTTTTGGTTTTCCGTTGAAAGAGCTCTGTACTTGTTCAGTAAAGGCCTTGTAACCGTTTTCCATTCATCAGTGCAAACATACAGTCTCTCCAGTCAATTTGCCAATTGAAAACTAAATGAATGCATAATGGCTTTTTTTGAGCTTTTTTCTCGCCCTGTACCCTGCGGGACAGAGACTCCCTTCTTTCTCTGCTCGGTGAGAGACAAGAGGGAACCTCTGAACAGAGGTTTCGCTCGTCTATCACCGACCAGAAAGAGAAGGCAATCTCTGTCTCGCGGGTATTGTCCTTGGCGTTGGGTGTAAGTTCTCCCGTTCTTGAAACCCTTTTGATTCACGTTTTCAACGATTGCCACGTGGACCATGTACTTACATGTTTATGCTGTCAGTTCACCTGAGTCGGTTCACTGATTAAGACAGCGTCCACAAAACGCCGGAGAAATTTAAAACGCAGCTTCATTGCTACGATTAGTCTACCGTCCACACTAATCCGTCACAAAAACGGAGCTATACGAAAACGATCTTAAAACCAGAGGAATTTGAAAACGCCGGCTTAAGTTTCGTTTTCGTGTGAACGTAAAACATTTTGAAAACGGAGCTTTTCGAAAACGATGGCGTCATGATAATCACGTGATTTCCCTGATCGAGTTTTCCTCAAACACAAATCCAAAATGACCAGAGATTGTTCCGTTTTCAAATTCCCCCGGTGTTGTGTGGACGGAAAACATTTGATGCATTTTCAGAGTGAAACCTCTGTTTCAAATTCCTCAGGTATTGTGTGAACGGAAAACATTTAATGCATTCATTTTTCTGAGTGAAACCTCCGTTTTCAAATTCCTCCAACATGGTGTGGACGAGGCCGGGGAACTCTCTTACTTCTTTACAATTCGATTATAATACATAAAGCCCAACTAAGCAATGGTCTCTAGATCTTAAAAAAGAGAAATAAACATAGAGCACTGACAGTTACTGAGGCCTCAGTTTTACAAAATCTTATTTCTGCTTGTTGAATTATTACTGTTTTTACAAATATGTCAACTTCTTTAAAATTCATAAAATGTTTCAAAATATTCCTTTCCTGAAACTAGTGCATATTGCAAAACGTTCATCGCATTTCTCTTTACTTTATACCTGCTATATTTGGTTTATGTCTATTTGCTTACTATCTATTATTCATTTATCTATTTAAATTATTCTTCTACTTTATGTTGAATAGCAACGGTTTCTGGTAATTTCAAAGTAAGAACAAATGGAAAAAATTATAGTTAATGACTAATTATGAATTATGTCACATTTCTGATAGGTCATGGGAAAAAAAAGTCAAATTTATACAAAAAGTGACGAGATAAACAATTATAGTCAATGTTGCACTAATTACGATACTTGCAAAAAGTTTTGAACATTAAAATTTCAGACATTTTATTCCAGATGTTTAATTTTAAGAGACAATTTTTTATCTCATTTCAGACAAGTTTCAGACAAAAATTTTGGACACTGTGATGAAAAATAGCTACCGTAAATTTTTGCCTAGAAAACAGGAATTAGACCGAAAATAGAAATCTGTGAAAATGATATTTTGACTGCACTCTCAAGGTTTTAGAGATACACCAAAGAAAATATATACAAATCCAACAATTTGTTGCAGACCTCAAGCAGTGTGCTAAATTTCTATACTGTACAGCAAATATTTTGGACACTTGCAAATTTTGGATCTGTATTTTTTTTTCTCGGACACCATTTTTGTCCAACATTAAAATTGTCCAAATTTTTTTTTGGCAAGCACTGTAATATCAATTTTTTTTCAGATGATAGCAAACCCAACATGGTCCTTTCACTACTAACACTACTGGATTTAGCATCTTGAGCAATTGTGCAGTAATTTTCTGATGATGTCAAATTCAAAGTTGGTTACTTAAACATAAATGATCCATTTTGTCTTCGCCAACTGACCTTCACATGACATGCAGAAACTAATAAGATCATATAGTGCAGACAAATGTACTACGTCCTCTCAGACTAGTGAGCATTCATGTTCGAGCTTGCTTGTGATTAATGTTTATCACAAAACAGTCTCAGATTAGCTGTGGTTTCCTTGGAAAGAGAGTAGAATTTTTGATTATTTGGCTTTCTCTGTGAGCGGGTAAGATGAACCAAATCCTACCTTCCTTAGCAGAATAGATTTGGCCATCTTGTCCTCTCAACATTTCTGCTACATCATAACAAATCCTTTTTTGACCAAGTTAGTTCAGTTAGATGACAAGATAATTGCCTCATTCTTCAAACTTGGTCAATTTACTTATTTTAATAAGTCACCCCATGAGGAGTAACAGGCCAACAATACCAGCATTTGATGAAGGACAATTCTAAATGTTCAAGCTCACACTTAACTTAACATTTTACTTAGTCCGTATCTTGAACGGGGACTCCCATGTGAAAAGGTTGGAGATGCTCATCAAAAAATTTGAATTAAACCCTAAGGAGACTGATCTGGGTGTGTTTGAGCTTTATTCGATCCCTAAAAGACCCTTTGTTGCAAAAAAAAAAAAAGTCACCATGGTACATCCTAGGTTAGATAAAAATCTGCGATTTACACCCATAAGTGAGATGCTGAGCATCCCCGACCTTATCTAAGGGAGTTCCCCAGGATCTGTCTTCCTTTGTCATCACAGCTCCTTATAAACATTATAGACTTCGTAATCATCAACCATGGCCATATGTAAGTGCTTCTGAACAAACTTGACAAGGCTCAGTGGTGAATTTTGTTGATTCCAAAATTGAATCACTCTTCCAGCTCTGCTAACGAGGTACTTGCCAAAGTTCCACTGCGGCTCCATTCTCACGCTCTCATACAGGTACTTGTACACAGGGTGGGCATCTTCACCAACTACTTTGATTTTGGAAAAGACAGGGAAATTCACGTCGTATTTGTTTTTGACAAATCGTGCAATGCCACTGTTTCTCAAAGGCTCCTGTTTGCCAAACTGGTTGCAGGGGAATGCAAGGACACTGAAATCTTCGTCGTAGAATTTGGACTGCAGCTCAACCAGCTCTTTGTAATGCTGATCTGTGTAGCCGCACTCACTGGCAACATTCACAATAAGCAAGACCTGGGAGATTGGGTATAAAATACAAAATACAGAAGTATGGTACATATTTATCAGCTAGACTTCAACGGGTGGTAAATGGTCCTTCAAATAGCAATACTGTCTCACAGAATTTTAGTTAAATTTCTCCAGTCAACATGCAGGTCGTCTCATTTTGACTCTCTAGCACACCTGAGGCTTCGTGTCAGCTACATTTTACAGTGATCAAAGCCTGACTCAGTGGAAAGACATGCAGGCTAATTAGGTAATATTTCCTTCCAAACAAAGGGGTTCTGTGCAGAAAGCTATGCAACGTGGCTCGAAACATCGCACTAGTTCGATGCGTGACTTTGAATACAAACAGCCATTGTAACGCAACTAACTCACGTTCGAGTGAACGCTTGAGCTGCTTTTCGACTCTCTTCTCTCTCAGTTTTGAATGGTGATAAGGGAAATTAACAGCATAAAACAGTGAAATACCCTACCAACTTAAATTTACTGCACTTTCTAGCTACAAAATTACGTGGTTGTCTGGAAACAGCGTGCATGACTAAATTGTCATTTCTTCGTAATACTGAACTCTCACCTTTCCTTTAAAGACACTCATTGGAACACTGTTTCCTTGCAAATCGTTAACAGTCAAAGAGTATAAATCCGTAGATTCGTTAAATTTCACCCCAAAGCCAAGAAACAGAATAAAAAATATACCGAAGTTACAGAGATCCATTTTGCTGGAATTTTCGTGAAACTGGGCAGTTTGGGAGGGAGGGTAGGCCCGAGTCAGCTGTTGCCACGACAACGGCGAAAGATCAGCTGTTTTTCAGCTGTCAAGACAATAGCCAATCACAAGAAGTGTTATTATAATTGTCCAATCAGAACTCGTTTTACAACATCGAGGCGAAATTAGCGCTTCTTTTCAAAATCTTTTTGAGTCTGCTTTGCAGAAGCGATAATCGCACGAATTCTTTGATGAGAGGGAAATTTATTCCACGATTTTAAAGAGAATATGTCACAATTCAGCTTTCATACGGAAGTGAATGATCTCCTGAGACTCGATGCCCCGATCAACAAAGGACCAGCTCCTCGATGGCAAAGAAAATCAACAGAACGCCGTTCTTCCAGCGCTACTTCGTCCACGCCGCTTCGTAACTCTTCGAGACTAAACTCGAGCAAGACTCCATCGAAGACACCGAAATCTCTGAAGAAAACGCCTGGAAAGCCAAAGACACCATCTGAGGACAGATTTATTCCTAACCGAAGTGCCATGAATTTTGAAGCGAACTATCACAAAATGGTTTTAGCTGATCTCGAGAACGAAGAAAACGAGTGTGCTAGTCCCTCGAAAGCCGAGTTCAAGAAGAACATGGCAGAGAATCTTGTAGGAAATGAGGCAAATGCCAGGATTCTTGCGTTCAAGAACAAAGCGCCAGCACCAAGAGAAGGTATCTCGCTATCTGTAGAGTAAATTGTCATCCAGATTCGATACAAATGATCGATAGTTTATCCTGTGTGAAGTGTAAATGATGAGATCGTGATTCAGACGCGAAATTCTTTTCATTCCCGTTTGATTCACACCTCTTTTAAACTTTGGTCTTTCAAATTGACTATACTCGCCGGTTTTTCCTTCGTTTAGATCTAAAATAAGAGATGTTCATCATAAAGCCCTGCTGGTTTTCCATCTGATCGTTGTTCTTGCAGGACACTTGAATGATCTACGCGTGCTGTACAGCCAAAATAAGACTCCGTCCACATCCACAAAGAAGAACGCGAGACATATTCCACAAGTTCCTGAGAGAATATTAGATGCACCTGATCTGATTGACGATTACTGTAAGTTTGCTAAAAATTCCTGTAATACAGTCTACATATAGCTTTAGTTTGGTGGTTTTGTAAACCAATGCCGTGTTGTAAGTCAAGGTCAAACTCGGTCTGACCAAGGCCAGGGTCACCAACATGTTGCTTGTGGCGTTCACGTTACCATGTGGTGCAAAATATTTGGAATAACCTTTATGTAATGCTTTACATCCAAGATTTGACAACCAAGTTTGATAAAGTCAATAAAGATTTTTTTTTTTAATCTTGTAAATCTTCGATCTCAATCTCATGTTTTGCTCGTATGTTTTTTGTTGGCTTTTCCAAGCCAATCAAGTGCCAATAACCTCACGTGGGATTTGGTACGTGAAAGCGTTGATTTCTCCCGTTCACTGGGACAAGCTTGGTTTCCAGTTGTCTCCACTGCGAAGAGGACAAAATTCGTCAACTTGAAAAAAATTATTGAGAGGAAAAATTTCTTTGAGTTTTTTCACCAACTAATGTAAAATTTTGAAAACATTATCAAACATGTGCTCTCAAACATGCGTTGTCTATTCCTATTTTGTTATAAAACAGAGTAAATTATTCAATTCCACTATATGCTTTCACAGCGTTGTAATGGGACATTCCATTTTTATCCGCACCGCCCCTATGGAAGGGCAGATTCCGACACCCTAGTTTTTTGTTGTCGGAACCTTTGAGGTTTGCATCCAAGGGGTTCAAAATTTTGTCGGCTTCTTTGAAAAAATATTCCGACAGGCCCTGTGTCAGAGGTTGCCTTCCATAGGGGGTGTGCGGATGAAAAATGGAATGTTCCAATATTATTTTCATCAGACAATGCTTTTCCTTTAAACCAAACCCACATCCAGGTTTTTCTCAATTCAGTGACGATCAGCGAAAGTGTTTGACACTTCACTGGTCGAGTTGCTTGTTAATTATGTTAAGGGTCATGTTTTACTTTTTTAGATCTAAATCTCTTAGACTGGAGCTGTAACAATCATTTGGCAGTAGCCCTAGGTGGCTTTGTGTACCTTTGGAATGCAGCCTCAGGTGATATTGTACAGCTCTGTCAAACTGTGACACCTGACTGTTATGTTGGAGCTGTGTCTTGGATCAAGGAAGGAAATTTTCTTGCCTTAGGAGACAGTAATGGAGTTGTACAGGTAAATATTATCCTTTTGATTGTTGCAGGAATTTGAACTTCCATGAATTTGCACCACCTGAGGAGTTTTCAACTTCCTGCCTTGTCAGGACAAACATACACACACTGATTACTTAAAAGGGAGTGTGGGTTTTAATTTTCAACTTTAATGCAAACTGTTGTCGCTTTGGATCCAAGGCTCTTTCACTAGGATGTTCTTTAAGGCACAACCTTGGAGAAAAACCAGATTGTATTAACTTACTTTACAGTTGTGGGATGTAGAGGCACAGAAGCGTGTACGAAGCATGTCAGGTCATTCAGCTAGGGTTGGATGCCTGTCGTGGAACTCATACATACTCTCAAGGTGAGAAACAGTATTTTCTTTTATTAGTTAGTTTCCTAAATTATTGTTATATGTAAGGTTCTTAGAATTTGGTTCATGAGGTTCACCAGATAGGTGGTATCTTGTATAGCCCTGCCCCTAACTCTTTTCTAGGTGGGTTATGATCACCAATGTGGAAGAGAACATAGTACTGTGTATTGCAAAGCTGTTGATTTGTTGTTTCATTATTCCACACAAAATATTATTGAAACAAATTTGTGGTCTACAAATTTTATGACTGCACATATCCATGCCAGACATGTGATAACACATTTCTTAGCTAATCATATGCACAAATAAGATGCTAATCAGGTTAATGTAACATAACAACAGTACTGTCTGATGACTAACATGTCTTTTATTCCTCGCTTTGTTACCAGCGGGAGTAGAAGTGGTGCCATTCACCATCATGATGTCCGTGTGGCAAACCACCATGTTGCAACTCTGGCCAGACACACCCAAGAGGTGTGTGGATTGAAGTGGTCTCCTGATGGCAAATATCTTGCCAGTGGGGGAAATGATAACCTGCTGATGATCTGGGACGCTGCTGTGAACACGGCCAATAACACCAATACTCCTGTCTTCACCTTCAATCAACACCAGGCAGCTGTCAAGGTGTGTAATAATTTTTTTACCACCTGACTTTTTTGCTTCCATAACCAAGACACCTTCACTTATTTGATTTACTAGGTAGGTACATGTACATATAAGTCAATCTCCACTAGTGTTGTGGCCTTAAAACCTGCTAGCCTGTTTTTTTTCTAGACATGCAGATCTATGTCTCAGTAGTAATGAGCACTTCTACAGTTGCCCCCCTCCCACTCTAGAATTCAGTCAGGTGCCTTGGCAAAGTTTTCATTTGATGTTAAGTTGTGCCATCTTTAATTCTCAGGCACTGGATTGGTGTCCTTTTCAACGCAACATACTTGCTAGTGGTGGAGGAACAGCTGATCGCCACATTAGATTTTGGAATGTTGGCTCTGGAAATTGTTTAAGTAGCATTGACACTCATTCACAGGTAAATTATTAATAAAATAACTGAAATACCATTATTTGCATCTAAGCCTGAGTATGTACTAATCAAACTGTAGGGGGCTTTTGATTCCAATGTAGACCAAGGGTGACAGTTTTTTTCAGTGAGGTGTGAAAATGTTTTCTAGACATGATACTATAAGAATAGACCAAAATCTAAATCAAACGTTTCTCAAAGAAGTTCTTGTTTGAAGGTTCTCCTGCATATTTAAAGTGTATTAAAAACAAGCCTGCTTACAATAAATCAAACAATACCTTACAACTAAGCAACAAAGTTCCGTTGAAATCCTTGTCATGACATTTACTAATTTTAAACTACAATGCTACACTAATATGTGACCACATAAGCATAAATAATTGAATAAATAACAGTAATGTTGCATATTACCTAGACATGAATTATTTCTAATTTATTGTTTTACTGAGGGACTGACATTCCTTTGTAATGAAACCTTCAGGTGTGCTCTATTTTGTGGTCAAAAGAATACAAAGAACTTGTGTCCAGTCATGGTTACGCACAAAACCAACTAACAGTGTGGAAGTATCCATCAATGGTTAAAGTGACAGAACTGACTGGTCACTCTTGCCGTGTCCTTCATATGGCCATGAGTCCAGATGGACAGACAGTTGTCTCTGCTGCAGCAGATGAGACTCTTAGAATATGGAAGTGTTTTGCTACCGATCCTGCAAAGAAAAAATCCAAACCAAATGCCCCAAGCAGTTCATTAGTGCGTCTAGGTATACGTTAATTTTTAGGTAAACAGGGGAATAAAAAGTAATTATATAAATTTTAGTGGCAATCTACACATAGGCCACTTGGTTTTTCTACAAAAAATTGAGTTTTAACTGACATGGAACATTACTAGTAAGGTTATTACATATTATAAAAGTTCTGTCAGTGTGATATAAACACCTAAATCATGGGCATCCACTGTTTAGCTGGAAGAAAAACATTGATAGTCACTCATACATTGAGTGATCAAGTCAAATTTATTCTAGCAAGGGTATCAAAATCTTGTAGAGTAAAAGAGAGCAGTGAATTTCTCAAATGTATTTTTCTCCATGGAGTGCAAGTATGCATTATGACTACCCTCCTTCAAAGTTGCACAACTGAAACTAATGAGTCAGTGTAGGACAAATATTTTGAAAACTTAAGACTTAGTATTAGGACTGTTGTCATGAAAATATTGAAACACTTAGAATAGGACACTGTAAATGTGTTTTATTAGTTTTCCGGAACATAAGTTTCTATATAAAGTCCTCTTTAACTGTTGCAAAATAATACATCATGCAGGTACAAGAGAAATGTGGTTATTATAAGCTTACTATAATTTTAGGTCATATTATTGTTAATACCTGTTAAGTTTGGCAAATAGGAACAAATAAATTATTATAAGCAAGGATATTCTAAATCCTTTTTGTACATTACTAAAAATTGAATATTTTAGTATTACAATTAATTTTTGAACAGTTGATTACATTTGCCATAATGTTATAATGTTGAGATTTCTGGTTAAGTCTAAAAATAATACATTTTGCAATAAAACATGTCTTTAACTTTGTTGAGGCTACTTGGCCAGTGTGATGGATGGGGTTGGTGAAGGGGAGAGGAGAACTTATAATAACAAGGTTGTAAATGTTTGTTTACTTTTCTTAGAAAACATGACATTGTTAGCATCATCAATTCATGGACATTAATCTTTCTTCAGATGGATTTTATTGAAAGAACAGGGCAAAACAAAAAGCCTGAAGGTTCATCTATTGGTTTGTGTTGCATGCTAGAAGATTTGAAAGATAACTTGCCCAGTGGCTAGCAGCATAATTAAACAAATAAAAATTATATTGCACTTGGCATTGAGTTCTCAATCATCATAAAATCACAACTCCACAGTGGTTGGTTTGAGAAGATAAACATAAGTTAATTGTGACTATGTTTCTTAGCAACCATGCACTGAATAAACAAGTTCCAATTTTGACTTTTTTATTCATTTATTTTCTTTTCCTTCTAAGTTTAAATTTTTATTTACATTAATTTCCTATCTTCCATCCATAGATTTGTCTCTTGTAATGACTGACTCATCAAACTTTATCATCAGAGTTGTTCCCTTGTGCCAATGTGCTGTAACTTTAGCAGGCTACAACAACAGCAACAACAACAAACAAGAAAGAAAGAAAGAAAGAAATTGTTAGCATAACCCAATGGCTAGTGAGTTTAATAAATTTATGAGTTAGAGGTTTCAAGTAGGAATTTCCAGTTAGAGTTAGAATTTCAAGTTTAAGTCGACCTCTTTATTTTCTAAAGTTTCTTTGTAAGTTTGATATCTAAATCTGAATGAGTGATAGGCTTTCCTAGATTTACATATAAAAGCTAACCCTAATCAAATTAACAGAACTGCTAATAAGGCTAACTTGCACTCAATTTTAACTCACAAAATGGACTGACCTGTGGCTAACTGACAGTCTGATTTACTAGTGTAACTGAATTTTTGATAAAAATCCTGTGAAATGTTTCTTATTGTTGAACTTACAAAGTTACATCCATGTAGTACAGCTTCAACTATGCCAGCAATAAAAGAGGCACAATTCAGACTTCCTGTAATGAAATCAAGAGATTAAAAACACACAGTAAGGACAGGGTACAAAACTAAGTCCAAAATCTTAAACAAGCCACAAACAAAACTCACTACTGCTGATCAGAATGAAGTCATTTTTAACTGATTGCCTACAACCATCTACATGTATAGGTTTATACTACCAACAATGAATCTAAATTATTTTCAGTGTAACTTAGTTTTTCTAGTATTTTCTTGTAGGGTGTTAGATAAAAAAAATAATATTCTGACTTCTGTTCTGCACCAGTTTCCCAAATGGTTGTGGGATGAAATTAAAGAAAGTGCAGAAAAAGGGAGAAAAGAGCGCTTTTCCTCTCCCAGCCAGTTCTTGTTTGTCCCTTCTGATAGGAGACAACCTTTTGGGTTGATTTTCTTCATTCCACATTACTTTACAGTTGACTTTCCACTTTCCAGATTCTAATATCAATACTGTCTGGCACAACATTGCATTTGCAATTGTACCCTTAATATCTGCCTTGCCTCAAATTACCACAGTGTCTGCAATTACAGTAATCTAATCTGGGGGTTAAGGGTTTGAATCCCACCAAGGTCAAAGAATTTTTCTCTACCTTGTTTGACCCCATTTCCTTTCTAGGAAATACTTGGGCTGATATCAAGCCCTCTAAATATAGGTCCAAAAACATCCAAACAGATGCTGGACATTCTCAATAATTATGTGAGCTGTCCTATGACATCAAAGGAAAATTCTTTGTCACTGCAATTCAGTATATTCTGTAAAATTTAACTCATAAAAAAGAAAAATACAACTTTCCTATTTACATTTACCTTTATCTTTTGGAACTGAGATGAACTTATTCACCAGAGGTTCTTTTTCAATAATGTAATCTACAAGCAGTGTTAAGGTCTAGAAAACATTTCTCTTTGAATCAAGTAACAAGGAAATAAGGAACACTGTAAGATAGTGGTTCGACACTGATTATTTTTTTGATGTTTTGTTCAAGACGTTTCGGCTGGTGCTTGAGCCTTCATCAGTTGAAAAACTAACGTTAGTGCGCGTGATGCTAACTAACGTTAGTTTTTCAACTGATGAAGGCTCAAGCACCAGCCGAAACATCTTGAACAAAACATCAAAAAAATAGTCAGTGTCAAAGCACTATCTTACAATGTTAGCTCCTGACTACCACTACTCTATTTTTAAAATGAGGAACATGATGGGCCTAATGCTTGACTTGCTCCTTCTTTGTTGTGGTTTGAAAACACACCAAAGAAGGAGCAAGACCTTAATGTTATGATAGTAACCTTCCTATTTGGCAATTGAAAGAGCTTTTCAGTCTTTGATATCAAAAGTGAAGGAAAAGTCAAGCTTGATTTTGAACTCATTTTGTTTTAGAGGTTGAAACATTCAGAACGTCACATTTCCTTCTACAGTCCAGCCATGTGGTTATTTGGAGCTTGTCCTCTAGCGTGTTTCTTTTCTTAGGGACTAAAGAAGGTTTCTATATATCTTCTATCCTGCATACGTACCTCTTCCAATCCCACCCCCATTCAAAACAAAAAACAAAAACCAAAACAACTAGCTCTGATAAAGAGTGGTAATTTTTTGTTTGCCCCAAGGTTACTTATAATAATTATACATGTAAAAATATAAAATTACTGTAACTTGGAACCAAAAAGACCGGAATGATCTTTGCGCCATAGAGCTAATTAGTTATTGAAAGGATACATGTTTTGTCGTCATCATTAGCTTGTTCCAGCTTATCAGCTTCCTTGCCAAATAATGACTACAAGAAAACAGAACAAGATAAAACACAAGATCAGACGGGTAACCTGAGAAAACTGATCCCCGGTCCGTGGACCCCCACTATGGACTGGGTCCGCAGACTACCTATGGACCAGTCCACAGACTACCCCTACAGACCTCCTACACGGACCACCCCCCAAAGCCTAAAAGCTGTTTTCAGCGTAAGGAGATGCCGATGGCAAAAAGAAGAAAAATTGTTACCTTCCATTCGTGGCTCAATCTGGCCATGGAAGATGTGTTTTTAGGTCATTCAAGATTGTTTGTATCTATAATTTGCGCTGAGGAAATTATGAAGTCTGGAATGAGTTCACAAATCCACGTGAGAATGGGCTGAACAAAATGGTGGAGGGGAAAGAGCACAAATTTCAAGGCTTCCCAGAGGCTTCTCACAGGCTTCCTAGAGGCTTTCATGATCTTTCATATACAGTATGGCCACAGCAAAGAAAATGGCAATGTGTGATGATGATGACTTGCGCCCGAGTCTGAACCCAAGAATGTTACATTTGCAAAATGTAACGTTCGAAATTTCGTGGACACAATCTATTAAACAACCCATAAGTGAAATATTTATTCCTTATTTTTATTTTATTTAGGTGGGTGGTCCGTAGGGGTAGTCTGTGGACCGGTCCATAGGTAGTCTGCGGAGCCAGTCCATAGTGGGGGTCTGCAGACTGGAGGTCAGTGTTTCTGGGTTACCCAGATCAGACTTTGTGTTGGTTTCTCTGATGAATAAATAGTGTTCATGTGACAAAAGGTTCTAATTCATCTGATCAAGATTGATGCAGCACCAGACTAAATTTAGGGCTCTTACTTGGTGTAGAAGATATAGTATGTTGACATTACAGTAACACGACAGAGAACAAAAGAATGATAAAAACAATACATTTGTGAGGCGGTATTCTATTGTGACGTGTCCTGTGTCTTCTTCACCAAGAAGGAGCCACATTCAGCAACTACTGTGCTCCCTACGTACCACTCTAGTGATTTCCATAGTACACTTAGAGTTTAAGTCAGTTTAATATCTAAGCCTTTTGTCTTGTGCTGTGAAACAGCAAGACTCAGAATCATTTATTTGTAAAAAAGAATAACTTTTGACTGTAGTAATTTCAAGTGCATGATAATTCAAGTGTTACCTTCCATAAAGCTGACTTGATAAAAAGGAGTATGTTTAGTACTCTCACTTCTCGTTTCATTCCTTTCTCTCTTAGCACCAAGACATCGAGCATTCTTGAACCGACCTGCTGGCCAAGTTCTGACAACCTGGTTAAGTTGACAATCATTCAATTAAATAATGGATTTGTAAACAGTTTGATAAAATAGAATGTCATGGGTGTTGCCAAACTCGTTTATGAGCTATTAACAGCTAAAGCTAAAATTAAGGGTGTTTTTAACAGGTTATACTGTTGCTATGGTAACCTATTATGCCCAAAGATCACCATTATTGGTTCCCCGATAGCTGGGCATTTACGTGATACCAATATTGTAGTATCATTTGATAAACGGAGGTAGTATTGATCTGTCAAAGTATAGCTGTTGGAAAAGTGCTGGAAACTGTTGTCAGCCTCCTCAACTTAAATTTAACCGAAACCACAGGTTTATGGATTAAAAGGGTCATAAGGAACACAATTTTATTTAAGAAACACTTGAGTATCAAAATGAATACTTACTTGGTTTGAAGTTCTGGTACAGTGTGCACTCTGTTCTGACAATACTGTACCATCTCGGAAAATAACAAACCGAAAGTACTCACATTGATCTACAACAAAAAATAATATTATATCATTGACATCGCAGATTGATTAAACAGATTAGAAATGTTACTCTAAACGGCTGATTACTTCGTTCCTTCCTTTACTGAGCGGTTTTTCGAGGATATTTGACGATCGACTTCTTCTCACGGACTCCATCTTGTTTTAGGCCAGGCTACTGAGCAGGAAGGCCTGGTAGCTCATGTAACAAAATGGCGGCTGGTGGCGCACGGAGAACAGTTGTAGATAGATATTTTACGCGTATCTTTAGGACAGGTTCGACTTGAATGCGATTTAGCAGTTTATTTTTCAGTTTCCTTCTTCTGTTCTTTACACAGCATGAATTTTATCATCATATTTTGGAATTGCAATCTTCTTGCCTTCTTTTCAGACATCAAGGGCAAACTTTGCGAAGACCAGTGTGTTTTACAGCATTCAAACAAGTAAGTGTAAGTTTTACAAGCATCTTTAACTGAGAATAATTATGCAAAAGGTGAAAAAGTCCATGGCTGGGCAATATTCCCCACGGTTTTTTTTTTCCTCTTACTCTTTGAAACATATGGTAACTTCGTCAATAATGTGTTTTTCTTGTTAAGCATTGTTTAGTGGATCATGTGTACTAAAGGCATCCACGGTCGAGTGTCGATGGATACCCTTAATCGATTCTCGATCAACAATTGATTGATATCTCGATGATATTCAATACTCGGCCAACACTTGGTTGACACTTGATCAAAAATTGTCTCGATCGCCACTCTATTGACATCAGATCGACAGATCGACAACCTAGTGCTGACCGATTCATATCTATTGATCAACTCGTGATGGCATGTCTGTAAGATTAGCTGACTGTCAACTGACTGTCAACCAAGATGTCAATCATGTGTTGATAGAGTATCAACCGAGGTGTCAAGGGAGTGTCAATTGAGTATCAGTCGAGTGTTGATAGAAGGTATTGATCGTGGGTATTGATTGACACTCAGCCATGGTTGCCTTTAGCACACATGATCCTGCCTAATTAATTTGATCTGTCAGTTTATAATGATAATTGAACTGAGTGGAGTGCAATTTAGTCTGAAATCATATGCGTGATTTCAAAATCGAACAAGCGCGCAGCGCGAGTCCAATTTGAAATCACAGGTATAATTTCAGGCCAAAATTGCACAACACGAAGTTCAATTGCCACTTTATTAGATCCATTTTGAAATCGCACAATTTTATCGCCTTAATTTTATATTTTGGTGTATTGTTCCATTAGCCAGTTTGTTGAAATTAGTGGAACCGGAAACGTCTTTACCTCTTATTTAGTATGCAAAATGATGTCATGTGATGAAAACTCATTCAAGCATAACAAAGAAACAAGCAGTTCTGAAGACAGAATGAAAACAGTCTACTTCATGCATAAAAGTTCAATTCTCGTCGCCTGAATAAATGACAGAAGGCCTTCCTTTCTTCTGTGGTTGAGGCTGAGACTTTTCATTGTCTTGAGACAAGGAATTTCAAGGTGCATCCTGTGTAATTCTGCGATGGTTTTCTTTTGAGTTGTGAAACTCCCTCGAGTGCATGATGCCCATGCAGTGGATATATATATTTTTTCTTTTAAATACTGTTCAGTACGTGGCACTCTCCATGATTTTAAGGGATTCCAGCTCATTATCATCTCTGTTTCTTTTTGTGACCTCAGCTAGCACGTAATCAAGACATTCAAGTTCTTGGGGCGCCACTTGATCAGTTTCAAGATATTTTCAAGATGGCGGGACTGGCACCAGCTTCAGAAGATGTTTGTTCATTCACTGTTTTGTGGAGCGGGGCATATTTTGACTATGTTTTTTCACAGAGACAGGGTTGAGTTCTTGTGTTGCTTCGTTTATTTGAAACTGCCAGAAACCATGAAACATCTACAGTCTTGAGATGGCCCTGAATTTGTTGTTGTGTGGTTTTCGTTTGTTTATGTTTTGCTGGACTCGGTATCATATGGATCTAGAGCAGATGTTGAAGAAAAAGACAAAAATATTTGTGAAAATGGACACTGAAAGTTGGAAACTTCCATTAAAGTAGGTCTTCAGCCTGAAGGAGCTCATAATCGTCAGTCAAAAACTGTAATGTTTTGGAAAAAGACCTACAATTTCAACAGTTTTTTGGCAATAGTAGTTGCAAAATTTGCCACACAATGGCTTTTTGACTTTCATTTTGCTGAAATTTTATTGGTTACTTTAAACTAACATTGGAATCTGATTAGTTGTTTTGTTTTACTGTCCCATTCTCATTGGCTGAGAAAAAGATGCAATTTAGAGCAAAAAAATAGTGCGACTTGTGAATAATTAAATTGCACCACTGAGAGCCAATCAGATTGCAAGGATAACCAGTGATTTCAAAATGGATTTAATAGAGGATTTTATCAAAGTAGTTTAATATTTTATTTTAATTTTTCCCCTATTTATTATTATCTGATGTATAGGAAGTATGTCACAGATGCATAGATGCCAACCTAAAAAAAATTGAAATCTAGCAGATTATTTTTTAAACCAATAAATTACCTTCTCAACTCTTCCCAAACTTGTTGAAGGAAGAGTTACAGTGTATGCCATATCATCCACAAAAATGTAGCATGACCAGTCCACTGAATTGAACTGCATACAACAGTTAAAAAAGATTACATTTCCTAAACATTTTTATTGTTTTCCAGGATTTGTGTTGTAACTGTTGCACCTAGTCATCCATTACTCAAATGTAAGGAGATATCAAATGTGAATTTCCAAGTGAGTACCAAGGTGAATAGACTGGATAACAAGGTGTCAGGAAAAGGAAAGAAAGGTGCACAATATCTTCTGCCAGAGTCTCTAATTTGTGAAGTCACATGCTCCAATGGTGCTAAATATTCACTCTATAGGTAGGAAACCATGCTCTTATGTCTAGGCTGCATTGCAGGCTTATTTTGGCAAGTGAACACGTTTTGATCAAGCAAACACCATGATCTTGGATTCAAATTTGGGAAGAAGCTGGGGGAGAGAAGAAAACGCATTCTAGGGAGTAGGAGTGAGACTGAAAGAAGAGTAACAGGGGAGGGGGAGGGGAAGGAAAAATTCAGTCCGACCCTGAATATCAACCTAGTCTCTGGGGTACTTTTCCCTCCAAATGTGGGAAGTGAAAATTACTGTTATGCTAGTACATTCCATGTGTCTGACAAAATTTACGTGGCGTAATAACTATTGTTTTAAGGAGTACAAAATTATGTAGACATCAAATAATTACGTTTTTTTAAAATTTTGATGAACAGAATCAGGTAACAACAACAGCAACAACAGAAGGATGTGAATTCAGAGTGCTTTTTTATTTTGTAATATTTTAGGCTATATAATGACAATGTAATATTTGGATGCCTTCTAAATCCAAGGAATTTCTTACTGGGAAAAACAGTATTCCTGTATTCTTTTCCCCTTTGAAACTAACTGCCTTTCATTTGGAAATAAATTTGTATCATGTTTTTATTCTTTTATAAGCTGCATTAAAGGGAAGCTTGTTGAAGTGAATGAAGAGCTGGTTTCCAGGCCACATCTCTTGTTGGAAAAGGTTTGACACTGATAGAATCACCGTTGATACAAATGATTTGATTTTTAAAATCTAATTTTTGTTTAAGATATTTTTTGTGTGTGTGTCCACTGTAACAAAATGCAACATTTATTGTAGTTTTATTTTGGTGCTAACACCTCAAGTTTGTTTTCATCTTCAGCCAGAAACTGAAGGTTATCTTGCTGTTGTTCTTCCAAAACTCACTGAAAATATCCTGGATGGACACCTAACAAAAGAGGAATATGACAAACTTCTAGAGGACAGAAAATCATCAAATGGTACAAGTGAGTTGTAAAAGGTGATTTTAGAGAGGAAAGGATGTAGAAAATTGAAGAGGTGGATACAGACCTTATGTGTTGCTTTATGGCGTGAAGAAGAAGCAAGGTGGTAACAGTGGAGGCACAAGTTGGCCTCAACATGGCTGGTAAGGATAAAGAATTACTCTTTTACGTCGGCTTTGGAGCACACTGGCTGAGACATTGTCCCACGTTCTTGATGGTACTTGTAAGAAGCAGCTTTATGTTGTTAGCAGTCTATGGTGTTGACAATTTACAGTAACACTCGGGGAACGTTCGCCCTCAGTAAATGTCATTCGTTCCCGCTTTGGTCCTCGACACGAGCTGAAATCTCAAGCTTGAAAAGCTGCTAGGAATATTACATCTACTACAAGCGGGAACTGAATAACTTGGTTATTATATCATTTTAGAAAACAGGCCTAAGAAAATACGCGCGCTAATTGGTCAAAAATGGTGTTTCTATTGAACAATTAGCTTATGAGCTTGAGATTTCTATCACGCATGGAAATCGAGAGCGAATAATCTAATTGTTTCAGTATAAATCTTCTAGTTCTTCAAAATTTTATCCAAATCCTCTTCACAGACACTTCGAAAACGGCAAGAAGCGGCCGTCATTTTGTGAACAAGGGCACACTGATACGCTACTCACTGTCTATCGCAGAATAGATAATGAGCAGCGTAGCCAATCAGAGAACAGCATTCGTGATAGAACGCGAGTAGATTTATACTAAAACTCGAGAGAAGCACAGAACTAGCACGAGCTGTTGACGTAATGATGGCGCGAGCGAACAGAATTTACATTTTGATGATCAAAGTTAACAAGTTGTTTCCCTTTTTTGGTCGCGGTGTTTTCTAAAAGAAATACAAAACATGTTCTCCGTGTTTCTATCGAGTTATAGAAACTCTCGTGAAAGTTTGGGAGAACTCGAAAAAGCTGTGTACGTTCTCCCAAACTTACACCCGTGTTTCTATAACTTGATAGAAACACGGTAATAATAAATAATAATAAACTAATATTTTAAGAGGAGGCCTCCAATCACCTAGAGGTGGTTTTCAGGAGGTTCCATTTCTTCCGGTTCCGCTTACGACTCCGTCGCTTTATGATCCAGTGAAAACTACAGATTGTCGAAGCCGGAAGCAGAAGTGGAAGAACCTAACAATCACAAGGCCCGAAATCGAGCATTGCGATTGGTTTGTTCTTCCGCTTCTGCTTCCTATTCCGACAATGTAATTTTCATTGGATCATAAGCGACAGAGTCATAAGCGGATTCCGTATTCTGCTTTCGAATCCGTTGGTTTTACTTTCACTTGATAGTATCGCTCCGCCCTTCTGATAACGACACTGACTCCTACTCTGTCGCTAGTCAAAACTAGGCTTAAAAGGCTTATTTAGTCGTAATGAAAACGACTGCAGAATGATGCACTTTTGTAACAGCTTTTGGAAAAACCTACATAGGAAGGAATTTAACACCACCATGAAGTGAGGCTCATTTAGAGTCTTTTAACCAAGGAAAGTGGAATATTTCCTGTTTTAAAATGATTAACGCTGTTAACTGGTTTTTACATAATAAAGTTACATTTGAAAATTACTTCCTCGGTGCCCTTTTACTTTGTCTTCGATGTTTTTCGAGTCCTTGTTTCGATCGCTGAGCATTCAGCCTATCTCAGTTGTCAAGTTTGGCGCGCGCGCTGTTTAATATTGCGCGCGTGCTGCATTGCCAGTTGTACAACCAAGCTAACCAGTTTTCAGATCCGTTTGCTAACCAGTCATTGTTCGCCAGTTAATTGTTAAGGTTTTTACCTACCGTTTGCCACATTGTACGTCAATTACGGAGACAGTCAAGAAGAATGTTTTAAGTTGGTTTCCAAGTTTTGTTTACGTTCATTTTACTGTTTGTTTTGAACGCAACGTAGAGTGCCCAGGTAGTTTCTTTGTATTTTAGATAAAATTGAATTGCCAGATTAAATAGATTCTTCCTTGGTGTTTGCTTCTTTGGTCGCTTGTTCAACTAAACAGTCCTCTTCTCTCGTAAGTTTTCGCGTCCCCTAGTTTTTGTTTTTCGTGTGATTTCGGAGGTTCAAATTTTAAAAGAGATTTATTTCAAGCTGTTTTAAATGGTTCTCTTGCTGTTTTCTTGCACGTACTCGTGTTAAGTATTTCAGCTGCAAAACTAGAGGGTTGGGTAAAAAAGGCGAAACTCGTTGAACCAGTTTTATAACAGGCGCGTGATTTGTACGTTACTCGGCATTGCGCTCGAAACCTGACGTAACAAACGCCGCGGCAGTTATGACATCACTGTTTTTTTTTGTTTGTTTTTTTCTGAGCGAAAAAAAAAAAAGAAGTAAGATGGGTTTCATGAAGGCGCTAAAAACCCTTGAAATCCTTGAAAAACCGGAAGCAATATTTAATCGAAGGCTTCAGTCAAATCCTTATTATCCGTTTCAGGAGGTTGGACGAAACAGTAAGTGACCGGCCATGGTAAAGATGCTTAAAATCATTTAGGCCACAGAATGAAAGGACAAGACCCAAATGTAATTAAGGTGCTAAGCTTGGGTTTTAGCATCTCTTCTTCATTCAGTCCCTTTTGCTATAAATTTAACACAAGCGTATTGAAATTTTTCGTATTAAAAAAAAACTCTATGTAATTGCCTGTTCAAGCTTTTTGGCACAGGCCCAGTTTTTCATTGTTCTTGAACAGATTGTTAGTAAGTTACCTAATTTCGCATGCAAATAGCCGTAAAATAATCAACCGTAGAATAAATCGTACTAGTCAAAAGTTTTAGCTAAATTCAACGGTCGACAGCGTCGGTGAAAATCTTCTGAGAATTTTGGTCATCCGTCATTCTGCCACGACCAACTATAGCGTGTGATTGCTGAACTACATCTGAGTGGGGTTTTAAAAAGCGATAGCACTGATAAGAAGCGAACAAAAGTATTTTGATATAGAGACATGCGCCGAGCAGTGAAACCCTCCATTTAATCGCGACATTCTGTGTCTTTGTAAAGTTTCTGGGACTTCGTTACGCATTATTTCTTGTGTTTCCGCTGTAGAAAGCTCACCAAATCCGCTGCTTACAGCCATGTCTTTCCGACAGAACTTTCGCTTCCCGCTGAGTATTTTAAGGTTTGAGAGCCGACCGTGGGTATGGAGATTCAGTGGACCAATCAGAAAGCCAGAAATGCATTATCCAGGGATGAGAATTTGATAAAAGATGCAAATCCTGGGAATATCAGCTCCGTTTAACCGGAACCTTACATTCTTTACTTAGCCTAAGTATCCAGTCCATCTTTAGACAGAGCAAGTTATAATCGGCTAACCACAGTAGGTACCAAAAGCTGAGATTTTATGACACAAGTCAGTTTTCAAAACTACTTGTACTAAAAATCAGTCCGACACGCTAATCTGTTGATTTTAATTCTAGTTGTAATTAAATCGCAGAGTTTGTTCTAACTCTAAGTCGGCGACGATTTTACATCGGGATATTCACGGCCGTGGTTTCCATAGTTACATTGGTCACGTGGGGACTTGCGCACGAGGCTAGCGTAAGTATTCTTCAAGTGGAGCATTATATTAGTCTTACCTTGTAAATAATTTTTGGTAAACTTACAAAAACAGTTGTCAATGACTAGCGAGTCGAGAAGTCCGCATCTGGAAAGAAAAAACTAAGAACTTTCGCTCGCTCGCTACTGTTGAAAGTCTGTTAATACGGATGTTTATTACCTCATAACTTTTACGATGAAGCGAGTTTCATAAAACCCATCGGCGTAGCACGTGGACGTTCTTAATCTCTTGACACTGATTTAATTTTTCGGATTTAGATGTCTTTTAAGTTTAGGGTTTTTCCTATTCTGGTCACGTGACTGGTCATATATGGCCGTGATTTGAAACTTTTGCGGGACTCTTCAATGGAACAAACCTGTGCAAAAAAACTTATCCTTCGGAGGTCTGCTGTTTAAAACAGGACCGCTAGAAATCTTCCTTAGCAACAAATTCATGACCAGTTTGTAGTTAAGAAGGATCCCCCTTAAAGACACAAAACGTCTGTCCGCAGTCGAGAACAAAACCTCGTACATGCGTAACTTACGATAACATCCCTTTAATAGCTTCCATGCGTTCCGTTAGTATAGTATTTTACACGAAAACGAGGTTATTATTTTTAGGTTTCCGTTAATACTTATAGATGTCTTTCGGCTTCACTTGTTGAAGTCATTTTCACGATATATACTGCTCCTTTGTTAAACTCCACGAAGCTTTTTTTTTCTACAATACTGTTTTTAATCTTTAGACAACTTAACAGTCTATATATCAATAACTCGGCTCGTCATAGTTCCTTAGCATTGTACTGAAAGCCTCTTTAATCGTGAAGACACATCGAGAGATGACTAGAAAGAGGTGTGTATCATAAAACTACTATGCATCATGGCTGTACGACTCTGTCTGTTGAGTGGCCTGAGGAGGAATCAGGCAGCAATCTCTTGACGTACGTTCCCAGGCCATACTTATGACGAGAAATATTTAAAAATGAAGGTTTAATTTTAACTCCGTTCAAGGGCAGTCGACAGAAGCGGTTTGTATTGCAAAATCTGACCAATGACCTATCAGGGTTCTACTTTTTTACAACATTAAGTAAGGAAATGGCGGTAGTTAAAGAATGGTTGATCGCTTTCATTCAATGCGCTACCTTTTCAGCTATATTACAATTTAAAAAGTCACTTCTACTTACAGGGCATAGGTTAGCTCGCCTCTTGCACTAATATTTTCTATCCTACCCTCCCTCCCCAGCAATACATGTTTTTTCCTCTGTTTATTGGTGGCGTGTCAGCCATCATGGCGTGGGAAAACCGTGGACATCGCAGATGTGTATTGGACGGTGAACGTGAACAGTACACGTGCTCAATTGGCGAACATTCAGTGGACAGTGGGAATTTTCACAACGTTTACATCAGACTCAAGGCTCAAAAACACGGTAAGATCGAACTTATTTATTTTTTCTGTAGTTGTCATCTTCTTGCCAGGCTGATACCATGATTTAGGATTATATTTAAACTCAATTTAATTGGTACCTCCAATGGGTAACTAATAATAATAATAATAATAATAATAATAAT